AAATAGGTCATTTATGATTTATGTTCATGAATAGAACAACTTGTAGAAGTAACTATACCAGATCTACCAGTGTATTTGACTGTCGACGACAGCACATCAAATGCATTTTGTTGTAAAATAGGATCCATTACAATGACACACGATGCTACAGTGTTTATCTTGATATTAATTTATCTTCTGTACATAAATCAACAGAAATATTCATATCCACCCCTACCAGTGTTGTTAGTTGTTATTAACCCGGTTGCGGGCCTTTTTCGTGCCAATCCAGGCCTCCAATCTTGGTCATTGTTTCTCGCCCCGAAGATGTCCGGCCAAGCTTGGTGGAATGCCAAACGGCCGCCTATTCTTGGCCGCCGCATTCTCGCCTTTGTACAGAATACCATTCCGTTGAATGACAAATAATAATGACGTTCGACTTTTTGTGATTGGAAATCTCAGTAGATTTTAATGATAAGATAAAGTTCTTACATAAGGTAGGTGCTTATTGCAGAAAGTATTGTTCATAATCATGATTTTACCTTTAAGCTACACTTATCTCAAGTGTCTAGATTACTTTTCAGGGATGCATTTGCTAATAAGCTTTATGGAGATAATTATACATTTAAAACTCAAAAAATATTTAACAACAACAACTTTTGTCCATAGCTCCGTTATCAACATGTTCAACCATTTTGAATAATATTTTTATTTGAAATACGTACCCAAATGAATTTTGCCAATGCAAACTACCATTATGTGTGCGTTTTCAGCACTTTATTTCGGCTTTGATTACTTCGTGAACTCTTAAGAGATTACAGAATGAATTAGGTCGCCGTCCAACTTTGACCTTCATTTTATATTAATCCCGATCGAACTCTCAACTCGGCTGTTAAAAATTTATCGAATTTCATATTAATCCCTCAGAATTTAATATCTAAGTACTTATAGTTAAACAGAGGTCATTTATTGTGTCGCATTTTGTGGAAACGCGTGAGGGAAAGTTTGGGAGACACGTGTGTTTTATGACGACGTATAAAAACACCTATGGACTAAAATGGAACGGCGCCTTTACGATTTTGCTTACATATTGCTTTCGGTGCGGCTGAGACTCGAACTCACTGCCTTAACAAACATGTTATTCTAAGTTAAACAATTCGAAATAATAAGTTCAGGGAGCATTACGATTAAAGCTCTATGTTCTTCTTTATAAGTGTCTAGACCAAAACATTTGATGACACTTATGCCATGGCACTATCTATCTGTGTCGCCCGCCACCGAGTAGGTTCATAATATGAATGACCTACTTTATAAAATAATCTAACTTTAATATACAAGGTGTTAGGTAAATGGGTATATGAGCCGACACTAGCCCATGTTAACATGGTCATATAAATGGTATGGTGAAATCAGAAAATTGATATCATCATTTTAATTGTTTTAATTTTCATTCAAAATAAATTTTATAAAATCCGATTTGTATGAAAATAAAAATAATTAAAATGAAGATATCAATTTTCTGACTTCACCATACCATTTATATGACCATGTTAACATGGGCTAGTGTCGGCTCATATACCTACTCATTTACCTAACACCCTGTAAATGTTTTGACGCGACACACCACTTATTTACAGTAAACATATGAAAAAGCTTCCTACTTCATGCCGAAGTTGCGTATAAATAATTAGGTACGCGTGTGTATAACGAAATAACGACCAGCGACATCGAGTTACGACGACGAGCGCTGATAATAGTAGGGAATTTAGTGCAAGAACCCCTCCACTTTGGTATAGAAGGCTCATTTTTGCAACAGTGGTTCTTTGGATGCTCCTGAGTGGATTTCCGTCGGTAGACATCGGGAGCCCCCCCTGTGATAGCAGGGGGAGGGGGGGCAAGTTTCCTTCCGCCGCGCTTCACTTTAAGGCCCATATCTTCAAAACTATGGGTATTAGGGCAAGTGTGGTATCATTTTCGGATAATTAAAGGACGGCGAATTCATTTCTAGAACAAACTTTTTGCCTTTTCATACAAAAAAATTGAAATATTGAGTAAAATTCACAAAAATCTAAAAGTATTTTTTTAAATAAACGTCGTTTACTTTTAAACCACTGGAGATAATCTAATAAAAAAAATATGACCTGAATACTCAATATTTCAATTTTTTTGTATGAAAAGGCAAAAAGTTTGTTCTAGAAATGAATTCGCCGTCCTTTAATTATCCGAAAATGATACCACACTTGCCCTAATACCCATAGTTTTGAAGATATGGGCATTAAAGTGAAGCGCGGCGGAAGGAAACTTGCCCCCCCTCCCCCTGCTACCACAGGGGGGGCTCCCGATGTCTACCGACGGAAATCTACTCAGGAGCACCCAAGGAACCACTGTTGCAAAAATGAGCCTTCTATACCAAAGTGGAGGGGTCTCCATACAAATCATTGCACTAAATTCCCTACTATAAAGACATAACGATGGTTACGAACATCCGCTGATAATATTATTATTGTTTCCTATCGCGGTCGTAAGGGTTGCCAACTTTTCCCCATCGTGTTATGGCAACTGACGAAATTCAATATCTGTCGGATGTTGACATTCATAAATCTCATGTTACATTTATAGTGTTATCAATTGAGCGACTTTTGTAAAGCGTACACAATAGGTCGTTCAGCTATTCGACGGTAATTCAGCTATTTCAGCAATAATAATCTGAAAAAATTGGAAACGTTCCTTTCAAATTGTTGTTGTTACTTACCTAACTCATTAGCGAACAATAACAAATACTGTCAAATTATATGCCTTCCACGAAGGTAGGTAAACAATACGTAAGTTGAAGTGCCTGCTTGTGAGCTTAAAACAACTTTACCTATGTTATTTACGTACATAACTTTTCAATCTAATTTCTTAAAATGCAGGCGTCGACAATATTTCTAGTAACATTGCCAATAAATTATGAATTACCTACCTGGATTTTACTTCCTCCTCCAACTTAAACTTCGAATAGGTATTGTTCTAAAAACTTTAAATGTTTACCGTCCCAGCATTTATTGAAACTACCCTGCTGCAGCGAACCGTCAGCCCCATCAGATGCGATTTAGATGTTTTGGAGCAAAGTTTACAGTGAATACTCCCGGCAAATGTTTGTTTGTCGTTTTCAATTCGAATTTAAAACCTATCACCATTATTGGAAAAACATAAAAGTTCACGCGATGGGAAACCTTAGCCTGTAAACGCGGTCGGATTATTCATGCCACGTAGTTTTAGTGTTAATAAACAAACGTTACAATGTTCGCGTGTTATATTAATCTAATCATGTTAAGTAATAAGTTTTGTAACAATGTTATATTTTAGCACGAAGCAACGTGTAGTAACTACACGCAGAAAATCAATTTTCCAGGAATAACATAATTATGTAAGTAGGTTGGTACCTACCCACTTGCCTGATTATTTTATCCACAACGAGGAAGCTCAAATCTTGCATCTCCCGTGATGGAAGGTGAAAGCGACACAAGGTCTTAAATATTTTAAGAAAATATTCAATTATGTTACACATTCCAAAAAGTTTATGACTTGTAATAGAAATCACCTACTTTTAGAAAAAGCACCCGCAATAATAAGTATGGTAAATCTTTAATCCACAATTATTCGCCAAGCTGTAAATAATGCGCTACAAAAGGAACGGACACAAAGAGTTCAAATAATAGTCAACTTTCAAAACTCTCAGCGGAGGGATTCACAAAGCTTAGAAGAAAAAAATCACCTGGGAACTTTCCTTTTTAACGCCTGTAATAAGTAACATCGCAGCCGGATATAAATTTTGCGGGAGACCGCATTTTATACCCAATACCCGGAACATTAATACAGATTTTACCGGATTATTGTAAGTTATAACTCTTACCAAATAAAAGTTACTCAATGTACGTAGGTCCTACATCTCGTAGAAAGAAACCATTTATGCTCTAAATAATTTAAACAAAATTGAATATCATTCATCTTTCGAATAAAATGAAATCAGAAGTTACAAAATGAACAAAACGTTTAATCAATTTACTCCAATTCAGCTAATAGTTATGTGGAATTCGTAAGTAATTACGAAACTGTTAATTAAATACAATGAACTCTACATAATCAATTTAAATTAGCCCATTTACTTAAAAGTAGGTAGGTAACGAATGGCTTGAACATACAGGGGAGACCGAGGAGAGTTGTGACGTTGACGATTTTTTGGAACTTATTTACTACGACGAACTACTACGCCCTTACGAACTCGTAACAGTGCGCCCTTTTAGGGTTCTGTAGTCCTGACAAGGAACCCTTATAGTTTCGATATGTCTGTCTGTCTGTCTATCTGTCAGAGGTTTTGCTTGGAAACTATTGGCACTAGAGAGCTGTAATTTTGTGGAGGTATGTATATTAATCACGCCGACAAAACAAAAATTTTGTTTAGGGTAATCCCCAACATGTAAAGTGGGGATGAATATAAATAGCCTTTAAAATGGCTTAGGGGTATCTAAGACTATTTTTCGATTTAGGGATCCGTTTGCAAGATATGAAAGTTTAAAGTGTCAATTTTTGTTCGAGTAGGACGTGTGGGGGACCCCCCCCCCCCCTCTAAAACTAAACTATTGGCTTGAAAAATCTGGAAAAATTCATAATAACACTGCTGTGTATTATAAAATTTCTTAACCTGTAAAAAATCCTTTGAAGAAAATATGAAAAGTGACTTTAGAATTTTAGATGAAGTAATTGCTTGCTTCTGAAATATATTGTGGTAACGACGGACAACTACGGAACCCTACACTGCGCGTGGCACGACACGCACTTGGCAATTTTTTATTATAGATTTTGAATTGCAAATTGCATATCTGAGAGACATCTCCGTCGAATTTAAACTATTGCACGTCAGTCACAGTCGCAGAAGGTTAATCAAAACACCTAAACGTATTTCCGTCATTACTCAAATTCGAAGAATAAATTAACAACATTTGAAGAACTTTTAACTACTTATTGTGAAACAATGCCAGCCTTCACATTCAAGTAACCTCTTGTTAACAATACAGTATTTTAAAATAGGTTAACTTATTTTATTGTATTCGAAATTAATCAAACGTTTTTCGATTTCGGGCCTGACTGGTACACTCGTATAGTCATCAATGTATTTTTAACTTTACTATGGAACAAAAAATCAAACCGTTGTCGTTAAGTGAAACGCTGAGAGCTTTTGAGAAATCCTTAGGTTTTAAAAATGAAATAAAATGGCCCAGTTTTATTGCGATCACGTTGTATCACATTATCGGAGTTTACTGGTGCTATTATTTCGCGTTTCCAGTGAAATGGCAAACTTTGGTTTTCGGTGAGTAGTATTATTGTTTTATTCATTATATTAAAAAGTAGCATAATGTGATTTCATTTGTTATTGTTTAGAGATTATTCTTTAGTGCCATGCGAAAATTATAGCAAGTTTGCTAACTATAGGTAATGAGATAAAGTAAAATAAAGATTTTTGTAGCGTGAAGCTTTCTAGAAAAGTATTAAAATAATTTGATAAATAAAATTAAATATTCTTTAATGAAATATTCCTTTAATTAAACTAATTTCTGTACATAGCCCTGATAATGTACGTGGCTTCGGGCTTTGGAATCACCGGTGGAGCGCACAGGCTGTGGACACATAGGGCCTTCAAAGTCAACACGCCACTGAAGCTATTCTTCCTACTATGCTTTGCCAGTGCTGGACAGGTAATGGTATTATCTTTCTTTTGTTTTTATTTATTTTCTATCAGAAATTACGGGATTATTCCCACCTACTTATCCTTTGCATCGCTACAACTCCCGTGTAGCCAGGGCCTACTGATTTTATATCAATTAATCTCAAATATTTTTTTCATGACAAAGAACTCCCTATACCAATGGGTACGAGACCACCGCATCCACCACAAGTTCAGCGATACGGAGGCAGATCCTCACAATGCAAACCGTGGACTGTTCTTCTCGCACATCGGCTGGCTCATGATGAAGAAGAACGAAGAAGTCCTTCTACGCGGAAAGCAGATCGATATGAGTGATATCGAGAACGACCCTATACTGAGGTTTTATGATAGGTGAGTATTTTCTGGAATAAGGCCACGGCAAGCGCAGCGACAAGGTGAACAGATAATGACCTTATAAAGATTGCAGGAAAGTGAAAAAAAATGGGGGAGACCTATGTTCAGCAGTGGACGTCCTGTGGCTAAATGATGATAATAAGAATTTCTTTAGATTTATCTATGTTCCAAAAGGGACGCCAGTTTTGGCTTCTCATTTTGAGAAGACATTTCAAAAGCTTCTAAAAGTTATTGAATTCAATTCAGTAATTTCACATTAATATTTCGCTACAGGCATTTCGGGCTCTTCAAACTAATCTTCTGCTACATCTTGCCCACGATGATTGGGGTTTGGCTGTGGGAAGAAAACTGGAAGTGCGCAGTCGCGTGGCAATGCTTCATACGATTCCTCAGTATGTTCCATAGTGAACTCACTGTCAACAGCTTGGCTCACACTTTTGGATACAAACCTTATAACAAGTAAGTATTCGATTTTGAATAACATTCAGGTTAAAGTAGCGTTTTTAACAACCTCGGTGATTTCAACAGAGGTCTTATAATCGTAATCATATCTACCGTATACCTACTTATTTACATTATAATTTTAAGTGCTATCATTGACTCAGTCTTGATTTTAATATAACCCCGTTACCGGAAAAATCATTTATCCTACAACAAATTGGTGCTTTTGCAGAAACATTGTCCCCGCAGAAAATCGGTTTGTATCCATCTGTACTTTGGGCGAAGGCTGGCACAACTACCACCACGCATTCCCCTTCGACTACAAGGCAGCTGAGCACTTCGACCTCTTCAATTTTGGGACGTGGTTCATCAGATTCTTCGAGAAGATCGGCTGGGCTTACGACCTCAGAGAAGCCACACCCGAAATGATAAATTCCATTGCTAAGAGATTAGGAGACGGCACTCCCATACATTTTCCGCTACCCGAGGTCCCCAGCGAAAAAGAGGAGAGAACCTTAGGGTTAAGTAGAAATTGTAATAAGGTATTGTGTTAATCTACATTTTAAGAATTTGTTACCTGCTGGAAGGTTAGGTAAACACGTATTTGTATTACAAGTTTAAGTTCACATTATTGTGTAATTCTTGGAATAAAATATAACTGCCTAAGCTATTTTTATTATTGTACTAAATGGATAGAAAAAAAACGCTGGTGTCAATAATAAACATGTTCAATAAGGTTTATTCATTTATTTAAATACTTATATTGCTACCTAAATAAAACTATACATATATTAATAGTTAGGTATTTTTGCGTAAAAATATTTATGTAAATCTAATTATAACCTACATGGTTGCAAAGAGTGTGTGACCAATGTCTGGAGCGCCATAATGGTCAGGGTCCCGTTGCGGCCCCACTCGGCTGCGCAGATTCCGCAGCAAATGATGCACCTGCCCATGCGCAGGTCCAGACATCCTGATCTCACTTTCAGCCAGCTGCCACCCATACATCCAGTTTGAACACTCCGTAAAATTGTATTTGTCCTCCGGCTTCAATTTACTTCGCTTCTTCAGGTATTCGAACGTACTCTCCTGCAAAGTGTCCTTCACTTCGCGCGCAACCGGCTTCATTGACCCTATAACTTCTTTATCAGTTGCACCAACTTTTGCTAGTAAATAGTCAGGAATGGGTGCAGTAGTCCTATGTCTTGCTGCAGTAATATGATCCCGTGTAGTGGCTATCATACCAGCTTCTATCACAGTTTTCGTTATGTCTTCTTTGGTGTAGTTCCTCTCTTCTCGAGTAAACGTAGCAGCTTTAGCAAAGTTACCTGCGTGAAGTTGTATCCATTTCATCCGAAGGCGACTTTCTTTTTCATAGTTTTCTAACAAAAAGTTGATTACTTTCGGATTACTAACATCTAAAACAGGCATTGTGAAGGGAAGCTACTAGGGCTCTTCTTTAAATTATTGTATTATTAAAAAAAATGAACTTTTCGCTATTTATTACCAACGATGTCACAAAGATGAATGTCACATGTGGTCACATGACACTTGACATCTGTACCTCTAGTAGGAAAAACTTTCGAGTTCGTTTCGTTGCGTATTCAAAGTGTCATCGAAAAATTTTGTATGAAAAATTAAACAGCGCCCCCTATATTATAGCCGCCCTAGGGGGCGCTGTTTAATTTTTCATACAAAATTTTTCGATGACACTTTGAATACGCAACGAAACGAACTCGAAAGTTTTTCGTACTAGAGGTACTGAGCAAACCAATCGAAAAGTGGTCGAAAAGCCCCTTTTTTGTATGGAGTTTTGACAGATTCGATTTTCGATTCGATCAGAATGTGCGTTTTGTCTAGGGGGGCAGGTAGGCAATGATAAAGATTAAATAAAATTTTATTATATAGGTTTATTTGCTTTTTAAATACTTAATTTATAGCCTGACCAGGAACATAAAAACCCTCGCCATGTTGCGGAAAACTAATGGTACTAATTTCTTTTAATGGCAACAGTAACTGAAAACTTCATTGTCATGTCACCTTGCATGTCAGTCTATTGCTGTCAAAGTGTAAACAAACTTTATTTTAAATGTGCGCAATTGATTTTGTGAATTAAATTGCTAAAATCTTTTCATAGTCGTGAAAGAAAAGTGGTTCACAATGTGTTAAAGTATTTGTCGAAGAGAAATACTAAGGGTTCGGACAATATTTTCATTGAATAATGTTTCCGACAAAGGTTGTCAAATTGACTGACATGTTTATCGTATAGTACAGTCCACTATGAAAATTAGCTGTGGTTTGTTTCAACTACCTATTTTAAAGTTTTTTGTCACTTTCTAAGTGTTGAATTTTATGGAATTGGGAAAGAAGTACCGAGTTTGAAGCGTTCATGAGCAGACATTGCAGTTGAATATTCAAGTTCTGAATTTGATTATTGATGAATAATAAAATAAATCCTACTAGCTCGATTGATGTTTTCATTTAATTTATTTAAACCAGGTTACCTATAATAATATTTTTTCGTTAATTCATGAAAATATCAAATTAGCCCGTAATCCTGAATCATGATACATAAAGTTAGCCTATCAATTTAACACAGGTACGACCATAGAGAAAAGTAATACAGGTACGACTGTACTCAGTGTTGCACTATCAAATGCAATTGACGCGCCTCTATGCCAGGGTTTTTATGTTCCTGGTCAGGCTATATTAGCTAAATAGTCAATTAATTTCGTAGTGTTTGATAGTAAGCAAATACTTGCATGAAATGAAAGACTGGAATAAAATAAATCAAAATAATAATAAACTTTTTTGCAAATTCACTATTGGATGTCACACAACACAATGTCAATGACATAGGACGCATTTTGAGTCTTATTTTTCCATACTAAAGTTTTCATTATTTTGATAATGTTCTTTTGATATTTGTATAGAAAGCAACAACTTTTTGATTACGTTTTATTGAAAATATTAATTTCAAGATTGAAGCATGCCGCTCGCGGACATAACTAACCCAGACGTAATCAAATTTCTTGTAGAAAGCTATGACAAGACCACACGTTTGCGCTTGAAGTGGAACAGGTTACATGCTGATAAACTTAAAGAAGCTGCCACACTACATCGAGATGAAAAGGGATATTTTGAAACCGATGTTTTAAAAGAGAGCATGGCAGGGGGAATGGCCACCATCACAAGAGACTTCAAGGTAGCCGGCTACAACAGAAGACGCACTCCTATCCGTGACGGTGTCCACATTTATGGTGTATCGGAAATGAAAAAAGGCCATTCCATTGTTGACGTTGGCCTCGGGGATCCCAAGGATGACCCAAGACTCGCGCGGCCAGATACAGACCTCACGATAGACCCAATTATGAGACCAATAGACCCTAAAGAAAAGAAAATCTTGTACGATGACGTGCCGACTTACGGACGAGCTGTTTATTTGAAGAATCGCACTAGAACTATGCCGGAGAAAAAGTATTACTTCAACGAATGCAGTGGATGGGTCTATGGATGGAGATTGGGAGACAGTTTCTTCAAAAAGAACGCTCCGAAGTGTGGCCGCGTTTGGAGGCTGACTCGAGATGTCAAAAGTCGAACGGGTCCCCACCCGGACCCGGCACACTACAAGGAGTCTGAACCGCCAGGGGTCTCTAAATGCCCTTTATAAAATGATTTGTATTGATATTTTAATTTTTGACATTATGTAATTTGCATTATTTTGATTGATTTGATTGTTACTTTTCGTATTATGTTGATTATTCTTAGTATTCTTATAGTTTATTAAATGGATTTATTCTACTTTAAGCCTTTCATTATTTAATTAGCTTATGTATTTACATGAAAAACTTGCACCAACGTTAGTATAGAATACGTTTAATAATGAAGCATCAGGAATCATCAATAGGTAGGTACTTTAAATTAGAATAGGTAGAATCATTTCAAGACCCTTAGTTGGCTGAAGGGGAAAACTTAAAAAAATCCTCGTGTTTAGAACCCACACAGCAATTTAATTATTGTCTGAATATGTCCTACTCCTAACATAGCGTTTTAGATAAAGATTGAATAAAAGTATTCCTTTATTCAACGCTATTGCGTTGAATGTATCCTCTATGGAAATTTTGTGCAAAATTATGTGCTCTATGCACCCGTCTCACTGACATATTTTTGACTTTTGTATTTAATACGTTTTTTGAAGATTTTATACATTTTTACATGTTTCTCTTTATTTGTTTACGTTCTTTTTTATTTATGTAATAAAATCATCAAAATGCCACTTGACTACTCAAAACCAAGTATAATAAAGTTTTTGAAAGAAAATTACGAGCAAGAAAAAGATCAGCGCGTAGGATGGTTCCTAGCCAATAAAGAGACACTCATCAAACACGCAACTCTGACTGAAAAACATAAAGGATACCGAGTAGATGATATCCGAAGAGCACCGATAGAAATTTGCATGCCAGTGGTGACTGTGGATCACAAAACAAGTGCTGTTAATCGCCGGAAAAAGGTTCCAATAGATGGGCCAGTTTTGGGCGTGGACAAAAGCAAGTCAATTACAACAAATCAACTGGTACCATCCCGTAACCCCGTAATGCTACCGGTGGAACCCACAGTCAGTAAAATTCTCTACGAAGAATTACCTGTAGGCGGCCGTTCACAGTATCTCAATGCAAGAAAGCGAAAAATCCCCGATGAGAAATACTACTTTTGTGAAACAAGCACAAACGTTATTAGTTGGCAATGGAAAGACAGTGCATTCCACCGCCAACCACCAAAATATGGAAGACGTGCAGTTATGATGCGCGAATGCTCACGCTCAGGGCCGCAACCAGACCCAAAGCACTACAAACAACCTGACCGAGAGGACCTGTGTTTAAAGTGAATATTTCTCTAATTAAAAAGTCTATGTGGCATTCTTTTCTTTATTTTCTTCTAACTTAAGGCTCGTGTAACTTTCCCGTTCAATAAGGAAACTCTCATTTGTTATGAGCAAATAACTGCCTAATAAAACTATCCTCATAACACTACAGTGGTCGCTCCATAAAGGGTAAACAAGGCCCAAAAAACAGATGTTTGACGAACAAAAGGCATGAGCAACGCAAATTTAACCCTGGAGCACGCCGCATCCCAGTAAACATTGTCTAATGGCCACAGGGGGACAAACTTTTATCATCTACCCGCTATTGGGGAGCCGGGGTTAAACTTTTATTTTAACTCTTAAGCGATGTTGGCAGACTGTTCGGCAGCCTGATATTCTAACGTCGAACAATTATCATCGTGGGCGGTCTGAAACCAGGAATTTTGCGAAGCTGAAATCGTTTTATCTGGGTGCCCTAAGTAGCTTTCTGTGTAGGTAATTACATTATTATCTTAAGTTTGAGCGTTGCGGAGTTAACTCGAAGTTTTTCCGTGCCAAGACTTCATCAAACATTTCAATAACGATGTCGAGATTCTGACGAAAATTTTACGGAAAAGAAACTTAATTGATTGATATTTTAGGCATTCGCGACGTAACTTTTAAACCTATCTGGCTAGCCCTTATTTCTCTATCAAGTAGGTAGGTACTATCGGGGACTCTTCCGCCTGACCACTTTGTAGAAATTTTAGCGTAAGCGCATCGCTCCGGTCACGTGCTCACCCCGTCTCTAATTGGTTACGCATTTTACTATATTTTTACTACGACCAATAAGAGACAATCAGGGCTTAGGTTGCAATACGAAATACCATTGTGCACTTTATAGTCATACGGTTAATGTTTAAAACGAAATGTTTCTATTTCTTCAATCTTTCTTAGTTTTAGGCTGAGTTGCACCACCTAACTTTGACCGTAGCTATAACGGTAACCGGTGCTTTTTGTATGGAGTTTAACAGATTTTTGACGTTTGTCAAAGTTAAAGTAAGATGGTGCAACTCAGCTTTAGAATTTTAATAATAGAATTTGGTTACAAACAAATAGATAATATGTATTTTTTTAATATTGTATTTTTATACGAGGTCTGTCTGCTTTTTGCTTTGGCGAACTGTCGACATATTCTCTCCTTTGTTTTTTGTGAAGTTTTGTGATCCCTAACCGATTGATTTTGTTTTGTGTTGACCCGTGCTAGTAATTGGACTGTTTGATTGCCTTTTTATTGACCTCCGCGCGATTACTGAACCATGGCCTCTCAAAATAATTCTTAATTCTTATATTTAATTACAAACTTATCTATCTATACATTGTTAACTGTTTAAGTATTATTTAGTTTGAAGTTTAATTTTTATTGATTTAAAACCTTGTGTAAAGACACTTAATGTGCAATAAAAAAATTAATTTGAAATAAAACTAACTTAATATTATAATATTTATAATAACCAATTACCTGGATCATTGCTACCTAGTTACAATATTTGTATTAAATTGTAATAACGTAGATAAGTGTTTCTTTTAAACGGAAAACAAAAGTTGCTAATGTATTAAAAATAAATAGAAACCTATTATAGGTTTTTATTTACATTCAAGGATTTAAGAAAGTTATTATGTAGCCAGATCTTACAATAATTGTTTTTAAGCCACAAATATTCCTTAACTATTTCCTAATTAATTCAATAACATATAGTTTATAAATTATAAGTTCCGAATAAATTAAATACCTATTAAACAAGTAAAATTCGAAAGTGACTGTATGATTTTGCATTTCTCGCCTTAACTAGCTAAACTAATATCATGAGATTTACAATCTTAATATCAACAATAATAATAGAAAGGGCTACTTTTTTCTCAGGAAATTGCACAGTTACCTCGGAATGTGCGATAGCAATTTTGTGACCCGAGCGGGCAATCGCTAGTTCAATTTTTACACGAAGCCCCATATAATATTTTGTAGCGATTCTTTATTGGGTTTCAAATTTACTAAAATGCGACGTTGCCAAACGAGCGCTACGGATGCGGGTAAGCTAAGCAATACTCAATCCTAAACGCTTTACATAGAGCTTGGTTTGCTAGGGCAAATATCTACAGTGGTGCGCCGACGCTGCTTAGACCCGAAATATGAATGAATGGGAGCGTAGCTTAATCGAGCGTGTGTGTGCAAACAATTTAGGCCCTTAAGGTGTCAAGGCGTCCGAGTCCCCGATAGTACCTACCTAAAGTTATTGAGAGTGAGCACGAGGAATATTTTCCGATATCCCCCGGACCCCGATAGATAGTAAAACAAAGTATGTAAGGACAATAATAAGTTAAATATAAGCTAGACCACGTAGACGCAGATGTTAACGTGTATAGGTAATCCGAGATAAATAAGTGGCACATAAGAATTTCTGAATAGAAAATCTTTGAGCATAAATCAAGTTAAGATCGCTCCAGTGTCGTCAGGGCACCGAGGTCGTAAAGAATAAAAGTTCTAACGATAGAAGTTCGTGCTTAAATCCGTTCGAGTCGCTACTTCTTGGGCATTTGTTGAGTGTCGGTGATGAATCTAGACTTCGTGGTACGAACGTAAAGCCGCAAGCCGACGGGCTGAAGGAGTTTGTATAATGTCTAACTTTGAACACTTATTCAAATTGTATAACGATTGAAACGTGCTCTGTTCATCACTTTAACTAACGGTCGACCGTTTTATGTTATAAGAAAGAAAATTACAGAATTTACATTTTGGTTTTCAGTTCGTCGCAGTTTTTACTAAAATTGCGGTTTACTAAACAAAGCAGAATTAAAATTATCGGATAGAATCAAACGAATATTTGTATTTTTAACTAAATTTATTGAAAATCGCTTAAAAATAACGTAATTATAAACTATCGCTATTTACAACGAGACAAAGACGTAATAACATCATACACACAGTCTGCATGTTAAGTTAGAATTTACAACGGTTAATGAAATTGTCAGTCTACTAAACCAATAGTTATTCCATTTTATTTCTAAGTATACAAAGGCATCAACTACTCCGCACAGATAATGTAATTATTTGCTATCTACTGAAGAATACACGAATGTTCACACTCAACGAAAATAATAAATGTTGCGACTGCACAATAAAGGTTTTTAACGTCATATTTTTTTAGTAGACCGATTGAAAATTATCGGTAACAAAATAGTTATGAAAATAATTCATAGCTTGGTTTGGAGATACATCTTTGTATATTACACCTCATGTTTACTGTTGGTATGTACCTGATTAAAAAATAATTACTGCATTCACGAACGCACGAACGTGCGTGCTTCAAAATCTTCAAATAAAATGTGTTGAATTCATTCACTAAGTTTAATTTTAGTCTTTAATAATATATTTATTTAATAACTACTCTCACACATACATACTCTCTGATGGGAGCCAAAATTTTTTTGTCATCAGCTCAGCGCTGATTTGACGCGGGCTACTTTTTTATTTAAGTCTTTGGCTTTTAATATATGAATTTTTAAAAACTTACCTCAGTTTACGACCACGGCTTTCGTGGGCATTCGTAATAAACAAGACAAAACTTCTTCAATATTTAGAGTAGCCGCACACCGTTGATTTTTCGTCGGCCGATAGTTTAGTCGGGCAGTTGATCAGTATGGGCATGTATGGGAGTGCGCACACTATACGCCGATTCGATTTGGCCGATTCTTCATACAAATTAAAATCGAGCACAACTATCGGCCAACTAAAAATCAAAGGTGTGCGCCTACTCTAACACTACTCTGAAACCCGAAATAGTTTGAACGTATTAATATTATGATTTTTAGTATAATAATATTTGTAACAAATATTTAAATTTTTAATCGGCGAAAAAGAACCACGTTTTGCCAGCTCATATTCCAAAAACAGCCCGAACCAGATTAAGCGACATCTATTGAGCTGATGACAAACTATTTGCTGCCACGACGTCAGACGTTGTGCTGCCTCTTGGCCGTGGGTCTGTCGAAGACCTGTTTCATGCCGCCTCTGAAGTTGGTCAGCCGCGCCGCTGCACCTTCGTTGGACCACGCCGAGTCGAACTCGGTGGTGTCTTGGTCTACGAGATGCGTGTACTTTGTGCGGCCAGATCTGCCGAACTTCTTTACTTGCATCACCTGGCGAAGAATATTTTGGGTTAAGAGCGTTGTCACATTTTTCATGCAGAAATCGAGAATTTGGCAGATTTCGAAATGATTTTAGTCATATAATTTATTGTTATAGCTTCTTTTGACTTATATCATCGTAATTATCATACGTTTTTACGGAATGTCTATTGACAAAATCTCGTTCAAATTGAATTTTTGCCTACGAAAACAGCGAATTTCGAAAGCCCGATTTCCAGGTAACTCGCGAAGGCACAACTTTGAACTAATATTACAACAAATTTATTTCTAAGTAAGAAGATGGAATGTATTCATTAGAATAAGCATACCCTGAAGAAGAAAGTGTATTGAGAAAATGTTGATGTTTAATTCATTAAAATGCATTTTTATCATGTCTAAGATAGTCAAAATTCGAGAAAATTACTGAAAGAAAACAGGTCACATCTCGTAATCTAAAAGTCATTTGGCAACATAAACTACTTTATACTTAAGAAGAAACATAGTACTATTATTGTGTGAAAAAGAAAAAATATCTATCTTCAATCTTCAAATGAAAAATTAATTTGAAAATACTATAAAATCGGGTGCATCAAATGGCATAAATCAGTCGTGCTTTGGCACTCGTAGACGCCGGGTCTATGTCAGTTGACTGCCCACTGACGTATATGCGTCACGCGTGATTTTTTCGTAAATTGTAGTATGATTGAGTACTTTTGATCCGCAAGTATTTTTAATTTATTTGTTTAGGTAAATCGGACTTGTAATTTCTTTCTTTTCAAACTTTTTATTATTTTACTTACAGAATATGGGTAGAATAGATAAAAGATATTATTATGGTATCTGTTTGGTCAGGAAAAAATAAATGACTAATAAAAATTTTAACAG